CGCTGCTGACCCATATAGGGGCCTGCTGACTTTAGCCAGGCAGCTGGGATGGCCTTCGCCCCTTGGGTGACCCTGCTGGGAGGATACACTCTTGTTCTTTGCTCATCCCTCCCAGGAACGCGCACGCATGCACGCACACATACATGCCACAATGAGGCAGCACAGCGGGAGTTGGGGGGAGGTTTGTTGGAGGTGTTTAAACAGAAAGTGGGTAGGGATTGGATTAGATATCTCAAAGTCCCTTCCAACCCTTTAATTCTATGATTTTATGAAACAACCCAGCTCTATTTAACATGCATGGATTCAGCCACCCCAGAGCTTCACTTTTGTAGCATCTGACTGCATCTGACTCAACCACATGAGCTCCCCTCTCCCCATTTCAGGCCATCTCTGGGCAGGCCCAAGAATAAACAAAGTTTGCCCAGTTCATCTTACACCATGATGAATAGTTTCAAGCACAAAAATGTCCTGAAAATAGCACTAACACTTGATATTTAGTGTTTAATGTAGCCCCTGCAAAGAAAGGTGATTGTACTATGCCAAGAGAGGACTGTTGTTAGACTAGCAGATGGACACTGTCCCCACATCTCCAGGTGTGCCTGATTCCAGGGCTTTAGGTAAGCAGCCGTACCCAGCAGGCGAGCAGGGTCAGTAAAAGAGCTCAGCTTGGCCCCAAGAAGATCCTCCTCCACCCGCGGGCACTCTGCCATCCCTTTCCCATGGCTCAGAGCCCAGATGAGCACCTACAGGCTGGGGAACCTTTTGCTGTCAACGCAAAGTTTCCCTTTTCAGTGCCAGGATGGACAAGTTGCCACATTTCTCTTAAGCCAGAACCTTGATGAGTACAAGAAGGTCAGTAGCTTGGCCCAGTCCACCACTAAAGGAGATCAGCAAGAAACCTCTGACTGCCAAACCCAGTTGTTTTGAAAGTGATTCAGAGAACAGAGATGGAGACAGATGTTGCTGGTTTCTGTTTAAATTAAGCCCCCCCCCCAGGTGTAAGAAGCAAAGGAATGTTGAGTGGTTGACCATCCCAAGAACTCCAAAACTGCCTGCTTTCCAGAAAATCCACTTCCAGGACAAAAAGAAACACGAACAACAGCCTCAACCCAGTGGTTTCGCTTCAAAATAAACATCACATCCAGGTGCAGAGAATTTTATCACACGCACATGCACTAAAAAAACCCACCAGAATTTGAAACCATCTTTGCTCCTGCCAGTTGGACAATGCTGAGAGCAGGCAGAGATCGTCATGATGGGGCAACGTTTAAAGTAAGGGGAAACTCCTGCAGCTGACAGACAGAGAAGTGCAAAGCCTGTCCCTCGGCCCACCCCCACCCTCCTGCTGAGCTGCCACAGGTCTTGGGCAGAGCAATCTGCTCAGAAGGGTCAGGGGAAATGTATGGTCAGGCATCCTAGTTTCCAATATATGAAGCATGCATTTATCTTACTAGCATTCTTTGTGAACGTAAACAGAAAGCTTTCATGTCTGGATGGGACAAAACAGACTAACCCTAAACCCAGTTACTGTCTGTTCATCAAGCCTGTCCGTGTGTTCTAGTGCTCTCTCTTGACAGGCTGGCACTGCCCTCCAGGGCTCAAAGCTGCTGCTGGATGGGCAGGGGGAAGCTGTGGCCAAAGAGCCTTCGCCCAGCTCTGACTGGAATGCCTGTTGTGGCCCTACCTTGCAGTGGTGATGCATACCTTCATAACTTTTCAGCTAGACTGCTACCATGCACTCAACATGGGGCTGCTTTTGCAGACCATTCAGAACCTGCAACTGGTAGAAAATGCAGCAGCCAGTTACTGATAATGGGCATTACCCACTACGGGCGCTTTACATATATGCTTTGGGCCCTACATTCGTGGGTTTCCAGGTGCCATTAAAATGCTGACTTTGACCTCTAAAACCCCCCGTGCTTTGGCACCTTGGTAGCTCCAAGACCACTCCTCCCACCTGAATCACCCCACCAGCAGACTCTTCCCAGAAGCTCTTGGTAATACCCTACTTCCACGAAGAGAGAGAAAGGGAGGTGCTGGGTTTCTTTTGGAGCCCCAACTCTACAGAAGAGTTTCCCCTTAGATTAAGTATTGCCCCATCATTTTTAACATTGTGGTAGTTACCTAAGACTAGAGAGCATTTGATAGTTCGTATGTCTCACCATCTTTCCTATCATTGTATTATTTATTTATATATCAAATTTATATCCCACCACAATTATAGAAAAACTCTTGGTGCCTCACAATAGCAAAGACATAAAAATACAAAACAAAAATATATAATAAATACTTCAAAAAAATCCCAGAAAACAATGCCTGGCATTAGACCCCCAAATCCTCCTGGAAAAGCTCAGTTTTCATTTATTTCCAGAAGGTGAATAATGCAGGAGATGCTAATATTAATATAATTATTACATGTATCTTTACTGCTAATTGGTTAAGTTTGCTCTGGTTATTTTTATCTCTTTATTTTATTCTTTTACTATGGAGGTTTTCAATTCTTGACTGTATATTGTGAATGTTTCATTGTTGATTGTTTTTATGAACCACTGAGAGTCAGTAATTAATTTGGTGGTATACAAATATAATAAACATACACAATGCAGTTTTGCAATCAGGCGCTTTCCCAAGAGCTGTGGCCCTAGTTGGAGGTTGCCACGCAAGGCGGGGGGCGGGTGGGGAGGGAAGAGCCTCATGGCTTGCCGGAGGTTGGGACGTGTCCCCATCTTCCCATAGCTAAATTGGATTGCTAGGCTCAGACTTGGCTGAAGCCTCCTGGCATGAGTAGTTAGGAATATTTATTGCAAGCCAGAAGAAAGCCACATGAAACAGTTTATCATCTGTCAGCATGAAGATGCAGTTCGGCTCTTACACCCGCGGCAGGTTAAACCCTGGGCTTCCTCTGCCCATCCTTCTTCCATTGCACCAGGCCCTCAGTACTTATCTCGTCACCCTGAAGCCAAGCAACTGAGGCTGCTGACATAATGGGCATCTCTTCCCTGGGAACTGATCTCTCACTGGGAGGGTGAGGTTCAGTTCAGTGCTGCTTACAAAAGCAGGGGATGTCAAGCGGAGCAACGTTTTCACAGGGTTGTGAAATTCACTAGGCACTGACAAGAAAGATTAAGTTGCCTGTGAAATCTAGCAAAAAGCACAAGCTCAAGTAGGAGCTGAGAATACCTACAAATCTCGCAGCCCTCCCGTGCTGCACCTTGCAAAACGGAAGATTTCCTCTCTGTCTGTGCTGCAGAAAAGGAAGAAAATTGGCTTCTCTGCTCAAGGAGGGCAAAACCGTGGGAAGGCAGCAGCTGAGTGTCAGTGTGGGATGGGAGGGGCCCTTCCTGAGGTCAGTTCACGAATCCTATCATTAAAGATTTTGCTGCCAACAACAACTTCTTTCATTACTACCAGAGCCCCACTGGTATAGGAATACTTGGAAGAACTCTGGATTTCCTGAATGCTTTAAGAGCTGAGAGATGCATACGCAGATTTGCATCTCCTCTCAAAACTGTCTGTTTGAGGGACGGATGGTAAAGTAAGTAGTCAGAATACGAGGCATTATGCAGAAAAATCTGAGACAGGAATTAATTGTGCAATTCTGCAAGCTACAAGACGTGGAAAGGCAACACAATCCTGTGACACATCTAGAAACAGCCCTGGAATCGCTTTAAGAACCGAACATTCATTACACCCACTCGCATTTCTTTGGCTGGAGCAGCTTGGCTTTTCTGACCAGAGATGCAGTGATGGGGGAAGCAGTCCTGCTCCACTTCTCCCTCTCACTGACCCGTGAAAACACGGAAACTTGGGCAGGGAAAATGAAGAAAAGCCTCACGCTGCCCAACCAAAGAGACCAGCTGGTTGCCCGGGTCAGGCCTGGCTTCAACTGCCCCACAAGCGCTGCTGCCCACTGAGAAGCACAGCCTGTCCCCCAGTGCCTTGGCTGGAAACAGACCGCATTCAGAGTTCTCACACAATCAGTATCTGTTCCTAAGGTACTTGTGACGGCCTACAAGGACCTGGGTCATACACAAACTCTTTACCTACAGTCTCTTTCCCAAAAAGGCAGCCCCCATCCAGCTCCCAGTTAATGTCTCAAGGCCACCACTCTTTGGTGAAAGGCAGAGGTCTACATCCAAAGGGGAGATATGGGAGGACAATCTGCTCCCCTACCCCATGTAATGCTACCTTGAGCCCCAAAGTTAAAAAAAGAAATGAGACACATAGGTAAAACTTGCTAACGAATCCAATGTGTTCCTGTTTTATTGGCTCTGGAAACCATACCTGCCTGCAGAAAATTCCAAACTGACCTCAGGCTTTGCAAACAGGGCTGGGAATCAACACTGATGCTGCTGCTATTGCTACCTGTCCAAGAGCCACCTGGGCAAAATGGACGGATGGATCAGGCCCAGGGCAACTTCCTTTTGGCTGCCCTGAGGCCAGCCCATCTATGGAACAGACAGCCTTGCTCACAGCAGTGACCTAGACCAGAGCTTGCAGCGCTCCAGCACATGCTTTCCTGGCCCATCCTCCAGAACCCGACCACAAGGCCTCCTTCGCCTACCTGAATCCAGACCGGTTCCTCTGTGGGCCCTGGAGAAGTCAGGTTTTCCCAATTCCCCATTCTCTTGTAAGTGAAGGTGGTCCCAGCCACCTTGTAGTCACCATTCCACTGGATGGTCCAGCCACCATTCAGGAAGTATTTCTTGGGGTCTTCACTTCTCAAGGCCAGGAAATTCTCTGCTTCAGCTACCTCCTCAATCTGGATCTCACGTGCTCCAGCCGGGATCAGGCCAACATCAACATAACCTATTGGAGTATTGAATGCCTATCACCAGCAGGTAACAATGGAAGGTCCTCTTTCCCACCCAGTGGAATGAGCTGTCTTTCTGACAGCTACCACAGGGGAGCCCTCTTGAACTTTTCCCAAGGGCTGCCATCCATTCTAAGGAAACGGCCACCAGGGTGGCCAAACAATCCCTGGAAAAAGATGCAGATGTGCTTTCATTCAGAACTTGCAGTAGGTCAGGAAATCCTCTAGCATGTCCCAAAGGAAGACATGTGAGCGTACATTTCATGGGAAACGAGTTGGGCAGGCAGGCAACAGCACAGCCACTTCTATGAGATCCAGCTTCCTGCCCAAATCCTCTGGGATCACCACATTTCAAAGTTCTCTCCCCCACATCCTCATTTGTTCTACATCCTTTCTGTCACAGCACATCTCAAATATTAAGCAATCTAGAACTTCTCGGTTCTAAAGAGGAACAAGCAGTGATAAGAATTCGCAAAGCTCTCAAACCAGCCTGCCCAAAATGAAGAAGGCACTCACCCAGCCCCTCACTCTCCTCAAAGGTCTTCTTGACTGTCCGACAGGTTGATCCATCCCCATGGCACACACCGCACCGATCCTCCTCAGCATAGGAGTCAATTTCATAGTCACAACCGATGTTCTGAAAGACAGGGGAGTGGGGCAATTGGCACACTCCTCAGCCACCTCTGGAATGAGCCCCAGTGTGCTGTCCTGGGTGGCGACATGCGAACTGTCACCTCCCTGGATGATGGCTCTTTTCACGAGAGGAGGGAGCATCCAGGCACCCCAGCTCATGCAGTGAGAGCAGCAGCCCGGCTCTCTGTGGAGCAGTGAACCTGCTTGCAGGAGCACCCCCACCCCCAAAGCCGGTGGCCCTCTCCAAGGACTGAAGCTGTGAACAGCCACTCTCATCTTGTCAATGATTAATGGTGCTTTTTTTTTGCATACATAGATAAAATAAAAAAGCCTCTGTGCTCTTAATCAGTCATGCGTAAGGAACATCAAAAGGGGATCCCAGAGGCCTTTGAGCAGGTTCAAAGACGACCTTTCGGGCATCTCAGCACCATTCGGCAGAGCCACCTAATGAAGTGACAGGCAGCACGCTCCGTGTGATCCGTGTGCTGCGCCCAGTTAAGCGAACCCAGCAGAGGCTGGGCCCTAGTGAGCTTCCCCACTTTCCCCACGTTCCCAGGGCAGGCTGCCAATTGTCCACACACTCCTTCAGGAGGACTTTGCCTGGTGCCATTCCATCAGGATATGGATGGCAGCCTTTTCTAGGCTTGCAGGCACTGGCATCGCTTTTAAATTTAAGATCTTGTTAGGTGAGTAACTCTCAGATAGCAAGAATACGCTAGCTAGAAAAACCAGGCTCCAAATCACGAGATGAGACTGCTGCTGCTTCAGCTGCGGGCTCCTGTAAAAGTGATTAGCGACATCGATAGGAGCGACAGTTACCAAAAGAGAGAACAGATTCAAACTGCCTCCTTCCCAAAGGGGCAGCCATGAAGCCCCACGGGTAGAAAAAGCAGGAGTAAAAGGGCCAGAGTTTGGCCACTCTAAATTGCCTATCTGTAAGTCTCTCATTTGAAAGCAGAGCGTTGGTTGGAATTCTTGTACCATAACCTTAATCAAAGCTCTTAGACCCCAACTGCAGGGAGGGAAGACGGGCATCACAAGCGAGCAAGCATTTTCTGCGTCTGCCACATCTTGAACCATCTTGGTCTAATTTCGGATTGGGCTTGCTGAGTTTGTACTTGGGGTCTGAGCACACATGTACCTGTATCGCCCAGCCATGATTCCGTAACTAAACATCATAAAGGCATCATCTGAAATCCCCAAACAATTACCCCAAACCATCATAAATGAAAACACCATAAACACAGAGTGGCAGCCTCCAAATTATCATAGCATAGAAAATAAAGTTTAAATTGTACAGGCTGTAGCTCAAAAGCCAATCTGGAAAAAAATAATGACCGTCTTGCAGAAATCCAGCATAGAGAGAACCAAGTTAAGTATTAAGGTTAAGTTCAGGCTCCAGGCTAGAAGCCAGGAGACGGTGAGTTCTGATCCCGCCTGGGGCACGAAAGCCGGCTGGGTGACTTTGGGCCAGTCCCCCTCTCTCAGCCCAGCCCACCTCCCAGGGTGGTGGTTGTGGGTAAAAGAGGAGGAGGAAAGAGTATTAGGGATGTTCGCTGCCTTGAGTTATTTATAAAAAATAATAAAGGTGGGATTAAAAAGTCTAAAAAAAAATTATTGGGGCCAACACAGAGAAGGACTGTGTTCAGCTCCATGTCCCCTTGACATCTCAGGATGGGCGGAATCCAGTCAGAGGCAACAGTCCCTCAAAGTGACACACAGCTAAACCACGAAAGGGATACTATGAATTGCTCAACGAGCAGCCGCAAAACTGCCGTTATATTACAGAAGCAGCCCTCATCTGCCAGTAGCCTGGCCAGCACATTTTTACTAACTGCAGCTTCCGGATCATCTTCCAAGGCAGCCCCATGTACCGCAGTGCAGTAGCCTAAGTGCACGGGGATCAGGCGGTGAGTCGCTGTGGTTAAGCGTTCTTGGTCCAAGAAAGCTGCAGCCGGTGCACAGCCGGAGCCGGCCAAAGTCTCCCCAGCCACTGCTCCACCCGATCGAGTAGGAGCTGCGAGTCCGAGATGACTCCCAAGCTGCAGATCAGTTCCCTCAGGGCGGTGCCACGCCATCCAGAGCTCTCACTGGATGGTTTGATCTAGAACAAAGCCAGGGTATTTCTGTATGAACAGTGACTTTGTCTTTCCATCTATGTCAGTCTATCCGGTCCCCCAGGCACCAGGTGAGAGCTTCCGTAGCGCTGCCAGCCTAGCCTACGAGGGCAACATATAGCCAAGTAGCAGCAGCCTAATAACAACAGCTCATCTTTGCACAGCCAGATCTCGGTGACACCCATCTGAGCCCACAGTCATCGCTGGGCTAAACCTGCACCCAACTGCAGGTCCCCCTTCTCCTCATGCCAGCCCCTCCAGGTAGTCCGGACAGGAAACCAAAACCATGAGTACTAACTCTACCTTTATTGTAAGGTTACCGTAACAGAATCTTGCAAGTCTGAAAGCGCTTCCCCCTCCCCTGCCTTTACTTTCCAGTGGATGGGGGGGGGTCCCTTCAGAGACGCTTCCTCCGCCCCATCCCTACTGTGGACTCAGATTTCTCTTCTCAGACCATTGAGATGAATAGCTAAGCTCCATTCCCTCTAGGGCCCCAGTCAGAGGCTAGCGGGTGCCTTCCTCCCACTCACTACTGGGGAGGCCTCCCCTCCCATTTCTGACCCTGGTAAAAAGGACCTTTCAATCCAAACTCCGTCTCCCACACCTCAAATCTACCACTTTGGAGGCTGCAACTGTCTCCAAACCCCATCCCTGTGTCGCTGCAGCAATGCCCGCTTTGGGTTGCCAGCCCTCCGCGTGCCCTAGCTAGACATTGCCCACTTTCCTGTTTGCACCAGGGCACCTCACCCTGTGCCCTCTTTCCTCATCCAGTCCTCTGCTCACCGAGGGGGACTGTTGCACTTCTGGCCTGTCCCCAGCAGACGCCGGGCTCCTGGAGGAAGCCTCTGCCTCCAGTGCACTCCGGGGAATGACCGTTGGCTCACTCCCATCGCCCAAGCCTCAGCCCCAGTCTGTACCACATTCTTGGTATCTTCCAGGCATTTTCCGTCTTTTTCCTTTTCCTGCTTCCTCCATTTCTTCCAACACCCTTTGCTTCGGTTCACCCCTCTGCATCCCAGCCTCCAATCCTCAAATGCCCTCCTTGCATCTCTTCCAGCCGCACTTCGAATCCACGTGCCCTGGGCTCTCCACCAACCTCCCCGGAAAGGCCAGCCAGCACCTCTGCGTGATGGGCACTCTGCTGGTCCCCTGACAGTTCCCTGAAAGGCCAGCGAGGCCCCGGTCCACTCTGTCGGTCAGCAGCTGCATCACACTCAGAGCAGAGCCCCGCAGGGCGCTCTGCGCGGGGCAAACAGCGCCAACAAGCAAGCAAACCTGCAGCGGCCGGGAATCTTTCTTCTCTGTGTGGCTTTCCACGATACGGTTTCCCCATGCCAAAGCGGGAAGAAGTGGCAGCCACAGGAAAAAAGGAGGAAATAAAACTTCATAAATTACAAAAAGCAGCAGCAAATGCGCCTGGTGCCATCCCGACCAACATCTGTGCGTGCAAATAGGACGCAGCCATGAAAGGTGCACGTGAAGTCAGAGTACCTTTGGGGAAATTCTACCAAAAATACGCTCCATTTACTGAAAGGGTTATTATATAGAATGAATGAAATGGGGGGGGAGGGGAGGGGAGGGGAGGGGAGGAGGAAGGCGGTGCCAAAAGGTAGCCATGGAGAGGAAGCCTCATCCCTTCCGCAAGAGGCCAGCACTTGGAAGCCCCACCCTCAGCTACCCACAACGAAGCCCAACCCATTTCTCTGGCAGGCCCCCTTTCAACCTTCCCTGGTCAGGCAAAGCTACCAGAAGGCTGCAGTCAGCAAGGGTTTTGGGTCAGCCCTTCCAGGCCGTTCCAGGAAGCCCCTAGACAGTGTTGGGGTTGCCAAGGAGCGCCTCACTCACTACCGTCACCACCTCTTTCCTTTTCCGGGATCTGTGCACACCTCTGGCCCTTTGATGCAGAAAGGAACAGGGGTAGAACACGCTTGATTGCACATCACGTACTGCAGGTTGCTCCGGGAGACCAGCTCGCCCAAGAAAGGGTCCGTTTGTCCAGCAAGTTCACTGTGGTCAAAACCAGCAGGGCCGACACGCTGCACTCAGCCATCAGCTGGTTTACTTGGCTTGGGCTCAGTGCAATCTATGAATGTGGGCATTGTGCTTTGTAAACTATGATTTATGGCTTTGTGTAATGTGTGAATGCAGCCACTGACTATTTTGCAAAGAGGAGAGTTTTTGCTTCTCCGCTTCCTCCCTTGGCTGGCCACTCCCAGCTGCCTGAAATCAGCCATGGAAGACACAATCACAAACTACCCAACTGCGCTTGAGCTTAGCACTGAGATACGCAGCTCCTGTCAGCTTGAAAGTCACACTGAGTTCCACTAGTATGTCAAGGGTGCCACTCCAAGGGTGGGGGCATCCCAGGCCTGTTTTGGGAAGGCTTTAGAAGTTTTAAAGGTGAAATAGGTGTCTTAAGCATCCACAGATTTGCTCCTCAACCTTCCCAGATCCCATAAAAGAATCCAAATGTTCGGCTGCACCATTCTGGGGGACCCCGGGGGCCACAAAGAGATATTAGCAGACCACATGCAACCCCAGGCTATATTGTTTGCATTATGGAAACCAAGCCCGTATGACTCAGTATATCATGAAATGTGGACAACTGGAGTAGCTGAGACAACCATTGTTAAGTTAAGCAAAGGTAAGCATGTTGTGCTAACATAACCACTGCGTCCTCCTTTCCTGCAAGTCCAGCATGCAGATTTTCCCTGCAAGCCCATGTCACTTTCCAACCTTAATATACGGAATTTCAGACATACTGGGGGCAGGGAAGACGACACCCCCCCATGTGCCTACCTTACAGATCCCGTTGATGCACCTGTCCCGCCTGCCGTTCCCTTCGTAGCACGGCGTGCCATCGATGGCAGCGTCACGGAGCTTTTCGGCAAAGTACTCACTGTTGGGCCGACAGTGCAGTTCACATGGGTTACCTGCAGAGACCAGAGGAAAATGCTTGCTGGTCAAGGACCTTTCACCCCAGGCCAGCTAGCAGGACCCACACATGACTTGCTGCAGCCCAGAAGCCCCAGTGAGAAAAAGAGACTCTGCAACTCACGGAGCGGACTCAGACCACAGTCAATGTTACAGGCAACAGGGTGCCCACAGGCACCAGCACAACCCTGGGCTGCCGACACAGGTTTTGGTGCCCGCCAGGCTCCCTACCTCACCTCATTTCTTTCAGAATATTATTTCCATGAAAAATAGGAATCTACCCTACTCCAACCAAAGGAACAACCTCCAGCACTGCATGAACCATTACAATTTATTTCAATACTTGTATACTGTCTCAATCACAGACTACAGGCAGTTTACCATTAATGTACTATTTAAAAATCAGAAGTCTCAAAACCAAACAACAGTGCCATCGACGCCCACGACCTTTGCCACCTCCTGCAGGCAGTCCCCTGCCTTCTGGGGACCACTGTTCCAAAGTGGCAGGCCTGCCACGCTCTTTCTTATCCCCCAGGACAGGCTGCTCCTGTGGAGAGAGCTGGGGGAGCCCAGCCACATAGGGCTTTGCAGGCTGACAGCAGCGCGTGGAATTTTACCCCCTGGCAACCAATCGGTGCACTGTGGAATCAGCCCTCACCCACCAATAATTGGGCGGCCACGTTTGGTACCACTGCACCTTCAGGGCAGTTCTCAAAGGCAGCCTCAGGTACAGGGCACTGCAGTAGTCTGGCCTTGAGGCGATGAGGGCATCGGTCACTGTTGCCAAGGCTCGTCACTCCAAAAAGGGCCCAGCCTGAGCACCAGCAAAGCCTCTCCAGCCACGGTCTCCACCTGCTGAATAGACTAAGAGAACTTCCAAGTCAAAGACCTGGTCTTTCAAGGGAATTGTGATCCCACCCAAAATCGAGCATACTAGTTTCTACACGAACAGCTCCTCCATCTTTCTGAGGGGCAGATTTGACATGTTTCATTCCATCCAGTCCCCAACAGCCTGAGACAGACAAGCTCTTCATCTCCAGCTTGGCCCAAAGTACAGATGTACAGCTGAGTATCTTCAGCACAATGATGATACGTCCTCACAACCCAGATACCTCTCCCAGCAGTTCCATACTGGTGTTAAAACAAGGGGGAGAGAGCCCAATCCTTGGTACACCACACAAGAGTGGCAAGTGTTGTTGCAATAGTTACTCCTCCATGACTACCAACTGGAGCTGCTCATGAAGGAACCATTATGGAACAGTGCCCCTCATCTGTAGTCCAGAAGAGCACCATGGTTGATGGCATCCAACACCATCAGAAATCTAACAAAAACACGAAGGGGCACTCTCGTTCCATCCAGGTCTTGGCAAAGATCATTTACTAAGAAGACCAATGTAGTTTCTGTCCCGGGTCCAGGTCTGGGATTTATAGAACACTTGAGGCTCTGCTGGATGAGAGCACAAACTGGGGAGTTAGTTACTCTTCTAAAAAATGGGACTTTTGTGACAGATTGTGCCCACCATGAGAGCCATCTGGGAACAGATAAGTCCCATAGGGTACTGTTTTGTAAATGCCCCCATCCCGTTTACAGACCACTTTACTCTGGATGGAACCCCAACCCATCTTGCTTGAGAGAGACTTACTGTTATTGGGCACTGGAGTCCATTTGTAAAGCTTTCCTTTGTAGGGCTGGAGGTCGAAACGGCTGCATTGGACCTGCCGAAAAGATGGCTTGTCTGCTGGACACGGCTGTGTGTTACAGACTCTGAAGCGTTTCCGTTCTCCCAGGCAGTATTTCCCACCATACTTGGGGCTGAGGTTTCAAAAGAAAAACAAACTCATGTGCTTGAAGAAGAAACTGTTCTCTCCTGTGCTCCCAACTAAGCAGGACATGTTGGCAACCACAAGCTGGAGCCGCTTCTCCAGAAAAGCTGAAGGCAACAAGGGAGACTGAAGGCAGATTGCTGCTGGGAGGTCTGGTGATGTCGGGTTCAGCCCAAAGAACTCCAAGAGACAATGCAAATACAGTTCTGTTGCGTCTATTAGCTTCAACCTCCAGAGAGAAATCTCCCCAGACTGAACCCTAATTCCCAAGCCAGCCAGCCAGCCACAACACCGTGAATTCCTTAGGGAGGTGCCAGCCTCATCTTCTTGAACTTCCCATGCTCCTGTT